CTCCTTTTCCTCCTCCTCCTCCTCCTCCTCCTCCTCCTCCTCCTCCTCCTCCCCCTCCTCCTCCGCCTCCTCCTCATTATCATAATCCTCCTCCTCCTCCTCCCGACCCTCCTTCTCCTTCTCCTCCTCCGCATCCTCCTCCTCATCCTCATCCTCCCCCGCCGCCGCCTTTTCCTCCTCCTGCTTTGCTTCTTTCTCCTCCTCCTCCTCCTCCTCCACCTCCTCCGCCCCCTCCCCCTCTGCCAATACATTTCAATATAGATAGCTCTTCCCTGTCGAGCACCTGCCAGCCGAAGGTCCGCACTGACTGCGCATACACGTGCGCCTACAGTCAGGACCGCACACGCCTCCTCATCGTCCCCTTTTCCCATCCCGATACCTTGCAATTTCCATCGCCACGGTAGCCCAAGGGCCATGCAGTCCCGCCACTGCCATGCCCAACGCCCTCTGTGGTTCAAGGCAACTGCTCTAACGGGCGCAGCGAGCGCCCCTCAGCGAGGCCAGAGGCATCACCGAGTGCTCAGAGGCACAGTGCCGTGGACGATCCCACCGGAGATCGAGATAGATGCTCTGCGTGCGGGGCCATGCATGCTATATGGATGTGTGGTGCGGGGCTGTGTGCACACACCATATCATGGAAACCGACGTAGGGTGCACACGCGGTGCATCGAAACCTATACACCTTACGCCGCTCTGAGGCGAGCCAAGCTACTGGTACAGCTACAGCTAAGCCTAAGTGCATTACTAAAAGGCCAGGTACGGGAGGTTCCTCGTCTGCCGATGCCTGGGTATTTGCCACTGGAGGCTTTTTTTGCTCCTGGCCAGAAAACTCTTTCAATCACGGCCTTGGCGAAACCAGGAAACGTTAATATCCATCAGGATCCATACACGGCCCCAATCGGAAGCTTTCCACAGCGAAGCAGCAAAAGTGGAGACCGCAGGATGCACCGCATGCTCGCAGATTTCCACCCGCGCTCCTTTTCGCCGTCGCCCTCGTAGTACTCGTCGCCAGCGGTGCGCTCCCATTTGCGGTGCGCGCACCAGCAGACTCGGCCTTCGGCGGAAGACTCAGAATCTCAAAGGGCGCAACAACGAATACGTGTGGGACTTCTGGAAGCGTGGAAGTGTAAACCCATGCATACAGCACTAGCACAAAAAAGCATCGCAAGACGTGCACTGCAATCGAAAGCATCCTCTTAGAAATGCATCCGTGGAGAATCCTCCTCCCCCTCCACTTCTAATGCACACACCTCGCTCCTCCCTCATCCCCCCTCGTGCTCTTTCCTACCGTTTTTCTCCTCCCCCTTCAGTCTTCACACCGCTTCTCCACCCTTCTTCCTTATAGTCAACTCCTCTTCGCGCCAACAGACTTGTCGGTCGGGAAAATCGAGTTTTTCGCCGCAAACCTCCTCACAACCCATGGCCCTGAAGCTTAAACCTTCCAACAGTGGCAACAGTTGAACGCGCATGTGTTTGTTACGTGGACCTCGCCTTAGCATCGCGCACACTCAGTCGCCCTCAAATACCAGAACGGAAAGCGGGTGGTTCTCAAAAGGTGCCCTTCGCCTGAGCACCGCGAAGGTTCGTCTCAATGGCTCCCAGAATCACACCGTTCACTAAACAACAACGCTGCACGAGAACATATGGTGAGTCAGCATCAAAGGGGGCGTGCTTGGTGTGGACAATCAGTGCAGCAAGAAACCGGGCGCGGCACGACACGATACAGCACGGGCGCTGGCACGGCACGGCACATTTGTCGCACTCGAGATCACAAACGCAGCACTGCAAGGCACGGCACGGGCACGGCACGTGCTTTGCTACGAGACCGATGTTGCATCACAGCAGCAATTCGGCCCCTGACTTTCGTCCTGGGTTCGGTTTAGTGAAGTGATGAATTTCGGGGTCCTTATGTGGGAAAAAACATCACTTCACTAATCTGGGGCCCCTGGGGCCTCAGTGGGCCCTGGGGCCCAAAATTAGTGAAGTGATGGTTTTCGGGCCTCGGATTTGCCTTGAAAAAACCAGGCACGGCACGGCACGGCACGCGAGCACGGCACGGCACGGCACGGCACGGCATGGCACGACACGCCTGGTCACAGCTCAAGAACCCGAGCACGGCACGGCACGGGGCACGCGGCCACAGCACGGCACGCGGCCACAGCACGGCACGGCATGTCGCACTCAAGAACCTGGGCACGGCACAGCGCGGCACGGCACAGCACAGCACGGGACGGCACGGCAGATCTCTCGCTTTCCAAGACCCAAGAACGGCAGAGCACGGCACGCGGCACGAGGGCACGGCAAACACACACACACACACACACACACACACACACACACACACACACTTTTATCATACCTGCCGGTGTGACCTCGCACCTCACTATTTCGACCGACCGACCATGACTGGTTGCTGGGATGTGCGGTGTGCTGCCTCGGTGTGCTGGGATCCGTGTTCTTGGATCGGTGTGCTGAGATGTGTCGGACGTACTGGGATGTGCGCTGGGGGCTGGGATGCATGCTTCGATGTGCTGGAATACATGCTGGCCATGGCTCCTGTGGGTGTGCTGGGATGTGTGCAGGCATGTGTCGGTGTGCGCTGGGGGTGCTGGGATGTGTGGGTGTGCTGAGATGTGCTGGGATGCGTGCTGGGAGGTGTGCTGGGTGTGCTGTGATGTATGGGTGTGCTGTGAAATGCTGCGATATGTGCTGGCCGCGGCCCGCTCGGGTGTGCTGGGATGTGTGCTGGCATGTGTCGGTGTACTGCCTCGGTGTGCTGTGTGCTGGGATGTGTCGGTGTGCTGACTCGGTGTGCTGGGCTCGGTGTGCTGAGATGTGTGGACGTCGCCGGTGTACTGAGATGTGTGCTGGGTGTGGTGTGCTGGGCCGTGGCCCCCTGAGTGTGCTGGGATGCGCGCTGGGCTGAGTCGGTGTACTGCCTCGGTGTGCTGGGATGCGTGCCGCCCGTGGGCCCCCTGGGAGTGCTGGGCTGTCTGCTTGGTGTGCTGAGATGTGCGGACGTTGTCGGCCGTGCGCCGGGGATGCTGGGATGTGTGGGTGTGCTGCGTTGTGCTGGGATGCGTGCTGGGATGCGTGCTGGGATACGTGCTGGGTGTGCTGCGATGTGTAGGTGTGCTGTGATGTGCTGCGATATATGCTGGCCGTCGCCCCCCTCGGTGTGCTGGGATGTGTGCTGGGATGTGTCGGTGTTCTGACTCGGTGTGATGGGATGCGTGCTGGCCGTGGCCCCCCTGAGAGTGCTGGGGTGTGTGCTCGATGTGCTGAGATGTGCGGTCGTACTCGGCTGCGCGCTGCGGGTGCTGGGATGTGTGGCTGTGCTGGGATGTGCAGGGACATGTGCTGGGATGTGTGTTGAATGCGCTGGGATGTGTGGGTGCGCAGTGGCCCCCCTGAGCGTACTGGAATGTGTGCTGGCCGTGCCCACCTGCGAGTGCTAGGATATGTGCTCGGTGTGCAGAGCTGTGCAGACGTACTCGGCTGTGCGCTGGGGGTGCTGGGGTGTGCTGTGATGTGCTGGGATATGTGCTGGGATGTGTGCTGAATGTGCTGGAGTTTGTGAGTGTACTGTGCCCCCTCACGGGTGTGTTGGGATGTGTGCTGGGGATGCTGGGATTGGTGGGTGTGCTGGGCTGCGCGCTGGGTGACCCGGCACTGGCAATGTGTATGTTCCAGTTTCCGAACATGTTCTGCAGACTGGACCCTGAGCACCGCACGGCACGGCACATGCTCCGCATCCCCTGCCCTGGGCACGGCCCGGCCCAGCGCGGCACGCGGGCACGGCGCGGCACGGCACGTGGTCGAGCTCTCGAACTTCGGCACGGCACGGCACGGCACGGCACGCCACGGCGGCGGCACGCTGTTCGCGGTCTGTGTCCTCACAACGGGCTCTCACAGCACACAAGATCCCTTCTACGGCATTCACGGCTGAAGACAAGACCAGGACGTGGGGCGAGTGTCTTGACAAATATGGATCCCACCTGAAAGCTTCCAGCATTCACAGGAATGGAAGGCAAGAGCTTGTTCAAAATGTGGTGCGACTCTTCCTGACGCAGCGCACATACGCTTTCGAAGCTTTCAAAATCAAGGATGGAAGGCGGGTGGTTTTAAAAATACGGCCGTCGCCCTGGCACCCCCGACATTCGTGCCAAAAGCCTCGAGAACATCAGGTTGCATCGCGGATGGCTTCGAAAAGACACGTGGCTCTCGCCTACAAGCTTGCAACCTTCAGAAGCATGGAAAGGGGGAAGTTTCGAAGATGTGCCCCCTCTCGCCTTCGCGACGCGCACGTGCCTTAGAAAACCAAGGACGTGACCAAGGCGGGAATCGGGTGGCTTTCAACGTGGGGCTCTCGCCACAGCGCCGCGCACGCTCGCCTGAGAAGCCTGCGACGGCTGCAGGAAGATGGCGATCCCGCTTCCGTCTGGAGCCACCGCGCGGTACTGGCTCAACGATCCGACGCGCATGCCCGCGCAACGGATAAGCGGACGGAGGGCGGGGCTCCCTCTCCAGATGGGGCTCTCGCTTGGAACGCCCGAGCGAGGTATGACCCGTAGAGTGAGAGTGCGCAGCGGATTCACAGATGGAGGGCGGCTCTTGTTCAAAACGGCCTCTCGCTTGACACTCCCTTGGGTGCCAGATTCCTACCCAGTGGCACTTCTTACAACTAGAAATATGGAGGGCCATTCCTTTTCAAGACAGGGCCCTCGCTCGAAGGACAGGCCCGTGGGATTCCTGTCTTTCAAGGGGAATCCCGCTGTAACAAAGAATGCTTGTAATTAGGAACTTCTGATGAAAGGGGGCTTGGGACGGGAGGGTGTGTTGTAGCAGCGCTGGTGCACCCTGGCTTTATGCTGGTCCTCCTCTGTGTCCTCCTCATTCTGGGAGTCCATATCCAAGGAACACGCCCGGTGTGGTGCACATAGTCTCTCGGGCATGACTGGCAGGTTGGAGTTGCATATACGGTTGGCCTGCCCATGTAAAGGCGTCCAGCAGAGCCCAGATCCATCTCGCTGAGGCCTCCGAGACCTCTCAGATGGGCACCACGAGGACGAACCTTTCCTACCATGTGGAGGCCCGTCTTGATATCCAGTGTTCTACTGCACATGTTGTGCAGCGGCAGCTGCTAAGAGAGAGTGGGTGTTCAGAGGCCTGACTCCGACGTGCGACGACGACGACCACGACGACGACGACGACGACGACGACGACGACGACGCAGGCGGTGACGAAAACGACGACGACGACGACGACGACGACGACGACCACGACCACGACCACGACCACGACCACGACGACGACGACGACGACCACGACGACGACGACGACGAGGACGACGACGACGATCACGACGACGAGGACGACGACGACGACGACGACGAGGACGACGACGACGACGACGACGACGACGACGACGACGAATACGACGACGACGAAAACGACGACGACGACGAAAAACCTCAAGACCCGCTTCCCTCAGGACCCGTTTGCGTCGTAGGTCGTCTGCTTTTCGGCATGACTCGGGTCCGTGGCGGCCGCTCGGGACGGGCCGGGCAACCCTCGAACGGCCTCGTCGACGCGCGGCTGCTAGAAGGCATCCCCGAGGCCGGAGGACGCCCGGATGCTCAGGCGACGCCTAAACGTTCAGAAGAAATCTCGACCCTCAGCTCGTGAAACTGAAAACGCTGGACAGAGACTCGATGGAACTGGAGGAGGGGAGGAGGCGGCAGTGTGGGGATGAGCTCGTAGGATTCGCGACGGAACGGTCATTCACGGCGCCGATTACGATGATGGTCGAGGAGAGAACGGGAACGGCGAGACAATAAGCGCAGGAGGAGGAGGGAGAGCGCGAGAGAGCTGGCGCGGCTTGCGCAGGCGCGCCGACCGCGAGGTCGGAGCGCAGCGCAGGTCGCGAGGAGGAGAGGCGGAGGAGGAGGTCGGGATGAGAGGAGGAGGACGGAGGAGAGGCAGGAGGGAGGAGGAGGAGGAGGGGGAGAGGAGGAGAGGAGGAGGAGGAGGAGGAGGCGGAGGAGGCGAGGAGGAGGAGGAGAAGGGAGGAAGGGGAGGAGAAGGAGGAGGAGGTGGGGAGGAGATGAAGGAGGAGGGAGGCGGAGGGGAGGAGGGGGGAGGAAGGGGGGAGGAGGGGCGGCGGGGGAGGAGGGAGGAGGCGGGGGGGCGGAGGAGAAGGAGGAGGGGAGGAGGAGGAGGGAGGAGGAGGAGGGGAGGAGGAGGAGGAGGAGGAGGAGGAGGGAGGAGGAGGAGGAGGAGGCGGCGGAGGAGGAGGAGGGAGGGAGGCGGGGGGAGGAGGAGGAGGAGGAGGAGGAGGGAGGAGGGAGGAGAGAGGAGGGGAGGAGGAGGAGGAGAGGAGGCGGAGGAGGAGGATGAGAAGAAGAAGGCGGTAGGAGCGGAGGGGAGGAGGAGGAGGCGGAGGGTAGGTGGAAGAAGGAGGAGGAGGAGGAAGAAGGAGGAGGAGGAGGAGGAGGAGGAGGAGGAGGGGGGAGGAGGAGGAGGGGGGAGGAGGGGGGAGGAGGCGCAGAAGACTTCTCGGAAGGCCCGAGGCCGTCCGAGCCTCCTGAGAAGGCCCGCGCCCTCGACCTTCCCACCGGGCTCGCCGTCGGCTGCTCGGCAGAGCGGCCCCATGCAAGGGTGGCCCCCGGTGCGCGACTGCCGGCGGCCGCAGGCGCCCCCGAAGTCGAATCGACAAGTCGGATCGGCGATCGAAATGAGTCGGATCGGCGGAAATCGGCAGCCGAGTCGGGAGAAGTCGAATCGGCGGAAATCGGCAGGCTGGTGTGCCTCCAATGAGAAATCGGAGCCCTAATCGGAATCCGAAGTCGAATTGAATCGGAATCGGAAACCATCGAAATCGAATCGAATCGAATCGGAGGAATCGAAACGAGCCCTGGGGCCGTGGGCAGGCCAGGCCTGGGCGCGCAGGACCCTGCTGTCGCATCGTCTTGTCGCCTGGGGACCCCCGCGTGCCCGCACCAGGGGGTCACTCCAGCGGGAGGTGACTCTCACGTGTTGGCGGCGGGCGAGGGGGGGAAGTGAGGGGGGGGGCAGGCCTTCTCGGAAGGCGGCGGGACTTCTCCGAAGGCCTCGGCCCCTCTGAGAAGCTTTCGGTGCCTTGGGGGAGGGCTTGGGAGACTTCTCAGAAGCCCGGGGGACTTCCGAGCCTTCTTCTGGGATGGACAGAAACCCTGTTAGCAAAACGTGGCTTAGTGAAACCGACCTCGGGCCCAAACCTGCCGGGCGCAAGGCTGGAAAATGGCGGCCGCGGAGCCCTCTCGAGAACCGGAAACGGACAATTCACTGATCGACGTGTCAGGGTGGGGGGTTCTGTCCGTCCCCGACTTCCGAGAGGGCCCCCTCCTTCCCGCTTCCCGCCCGGGCTCGCCGCCGAACGCGCAAGCAGCCGATCGCCGCCGATCCCGTGAAGCCTCGCGGGCCCGCCGGGGCCCCGGCAGTCTCGCAGACCGTGGCGGCAGAGGCCCGGGTCGCCGTCCCTGCCCTTGCCGCGGGCGCCGCCCGTCCTGGCGGGCGAAGCTCGGGGCGGAGGGAAGGAAGGAAGGAATAAGGAAGGACGGGAGGGGGGGAGGAGGGAGGGAGGGATGGGAAAGGGAGGAAGGGAAGGGAGAGGTGAGGAGGGAAAGGGAGGGGCGAAAAGGGAAAGGGAAGGTCGGGGAAGGGAAAGGAGAGGGGAGGGAACGCGAAGGGAAAGGGAAAGGGAAGGGAAAGGGAAGGGAAAGGGAAGGGAAAGGGAAGGTCGGGGAGGGAGGCAGATAGGGAATGGAAAGAAGGGAAGCAAGGAAATCGAAGAAAAAACTGCATAACCATAAACTTTTGGCGCTCCGCGCGGATTTCTTGGATCCGCGCTGGGCCCCCCAGCGGCGCCTCCAGCGCCGCCCCTGGCGCGCTCCGCGCGCCAGGGAGGGGGGTCTAGCGCGGGTCCAAGAAATCCGCGCGGAGCGCCAAAAGTCTATGTTTATGCCGCTTTTTCTTCCTCCAGGAGGGGAGGGAAGGAAGGAAAGAGGGAAGGAGGGAAGAGGAGAGCAGATCATAATCGTCGTCGCCAGCGAAGGACAAGACAGGAGCTCGCGGAGTCCAGGCAAGGCTTGGCAATACGTCGAGTGACGATGCCATGCAGAGTCGAACAAGCTAAGCCTCCTCCTCCTCTTCCTCCTCCTCCTCCTTCTCCTTCCATTGCCCCTCCTTGAACCTCGTCGACCCAACCTCCTCAATTGGTAATGTCTTTCTTGTGAGAAAGGCCTTTCAAGGCAAGTTGGGCTTTAGTACCTGACTGGGAACCCTGATGCCTGGTCTTTCTCTTGCTCTCTGTTTCGTGGGACGCGACGATTCCGTGGCGCGCCATCTCCAGAATTCCTGAATCCCTCCTCCTCCTCCTCCTCCTCCTCCTCCTCCTCCTCCTCCTCCTCCTCGTCCTTCCTTCCTTCCTTCCTTCCTTCCTTCCTTCCTCCCTTCCTTCCTTCCTCGCGGAGGCGGAGCCGGGATCGGAGCCGCTGCGCCGCTCGTCCCTCTACGGGCGGATGTCGGACGAAACCTATCAATGAGAGTCCAAGAGTGCTCGAATCTTGTCAAAATTGCTTTTGCTGCTACTAAAGCAAAAGAAGCGTCCCCTGAAGATTCTTCTACTAATCTTTGAATACGCCTCCTGTAGAGGGGCATGCCCGACTTCATCCCAGGCCCCGCCGCCTGCCGCCGAAAGGCCTGCCCCCGTCTCGCTCGCTCCCCCCCCCCCCCCCGCCAGGGCCAGCGACGGGCGCCAGAGAGAGCGGCAGGGAGCTCCTCTCTGCCCTGCTCGCGCTGGCGCCCGCGAGGGGCCCCACCCCTTCGGTGGATGGGCAAAATCCTGCACCAGCCGCGCGACCGGGGCGACGGCGCAAACTTCCACGCGGCGCCCTGCTCCCGATCCAATGTTGACTGGCTGCGCCCGCGGGGTGCAGGACTTGGGCCAGTCGGCGGATCGACGAATCGCGCCACAGCCTGCCAATAGTAAGTTGGGGGCGCAGGGGGGGCGAAAACAAAAATTTCAAAAAAGGCGCAGGATTTTGTGCATCAATCGTTCCCCCCCCTGATTGGGCATAAGAGGACGCCTGAGCCTTTGGGAGGCGGCCTGAGTCGGAAGGGTCAGAACCATGAGGGATGGGGGGGTCTTGTCTACAGAGGCGTCGAACCAGACCGCCCAGAGATTGACGACCCCTCGTGCAAGGACGGGGCCCTCAATGAGGCCCTCAATGAGGCCACGTCTTCGCTCTGTCCTCAGGGTCAGGGGCTCGTTGATCCTCGATGACCCCCGTGCCACTTCAAAATTCACGCCGGCGCCGTCCAGGAACTGGCCAGTCCTGAGCACTCCCAGACGGCGCCGGCGCGAATCGCGGCGCGGCCGGCGCCCTTTCCCCCTCTCCCCCTCCCCCCCCTTGGTCGGGCCAGGAGCATCGTTTCACCGGTCCCTGTCCCCACTGGCGTGGCCTGGGCCCCACTGGCCAATTGACCCGCTCGATGGGGATATAGGATGTTCCCTTCGGGTTTCGAGAGGCCTATCCCCCACTGGTGTGGTGGGATGGTGGGGCTGAGATTCCATGGCCTGATAGGGATGGGGATAGGCTAAGCGATCCGTTTTGGATGGTCTCGGAACCCCAAAACGGCCCCCAAAGGCCAAAAAGAAAACAAAAAACCTTCTCGAACCCGGCACCTCGAACCTATTCCCCCGTTCTTGCTCGCCGAACTGCGGCCGGGCCACGTCCGTCCCCCAGCTGGCTCCAACCCTCTCCCCCTGGTCACGCCAGTTACAGTCAACCCGTATATTTAGGGTGCGCGACAAGGATGCAAGGGCCTTGGACGCCCATCTCGAAGCTTTTCGAGCGGGACGCGAACAGCGGAAGTTGACAAGGATGGACCGAGGAGGCAAGGATGCAAGGGTGCCATTGGGAAGGTTGCCCATCCTTACTATGCGGGTTTCACTGTATGCAGATGATGCGCGCAACGGCAAATGCGAGGGCGAAGGAAAGATTAGAGGGCCAAGAGCACTGACGCCATCATCGCGGAGGAAGAGGGGAAGGTTGCCCATCCTCACTATTCGGATTGACTATAAGAAGAAAAAGTGGCATAAACCTAAACTTTCGACGGTCCGCGCGGACTTCTTGGATCTCCCTGGCGCGCGGAGCGCGCCAGGGGCGGCGCCGGAGGCGCCGCCGGAGGGGGCCGGAGGGGCCCCAACGCAGATCGAAGAGATCCTCGCGGAGCGCCAAAAGTTTACGTGTACGCCGTTCCTTTTTCTTCGATTGACTGTATAGCCAGGGAGTGCAAAACTTTCTCCGGAGAGAGCGGCAGGCCACGAAGCGCGGGCGGCGGCGGCGGCGCGCTCCCGCGCGGGCCGCTCGGAGGCTCACGGCCTGGGCGCGGCAGCAGGCCGGGCAGAGGGCGCGGCGGGCGCGGCCGACTGGGCGACGACCACGACCACCACGACGACGACGACGACGACGACGACGACGACGACGACGACGACGGCGAGGACCCGCACCGCGGTCGGCTGGACGCGGCGGCGCCGCCGCCCCGCCCTCTGGGGACCCCTCGGCGGCGCCCTCAGGGGGACCTCGTCCTCCTCCTCCTCCTCCTCCTCCTCCTCCTCCTCCTCCTCCTCCTCCTCCTCCTCCTCCTCCTCCTCCTCCCCCTGCTCCTCCTCCTCCTGCTCCTGCTCCTCCCCTCCTCCTCCCCTCCTCCTCCTCCTCCTCCTCCTCCTCCTCCCATCATCATCATCATCATATCATTCATCATCATCATCTCATCATCATCATCATCATCATCATCATCATCATCATCATCATCATCATCATCTCATCATCATCATCATCATCATCATCATCATCATCATCATCATCATCATCATCATCATCATCATCATCATCATCATCATCATCATCATCATCATCCGCCTCAGGTCGGGGACCCCCATTTGTAGGGCGACCGAATCTGTACATATCCACTGCCCCTGGCCATGCCCCTTCTGGGCCCCGGAGCGATGTATATATGCGCCCGCCTGGCGTGGCCAGGGAGGCATACATGCACACCGCTGTTGGGCCAAGGATGGGCCATAGCCAGGGGCAGTGCATATGTATGTATCTCGTCGCCCGAATCTCTCCCTCCCCAATGTCTGAGGGGTGGCTGCGGCCACCGCACCCGAGGCTGCGCGTGCTCGCGAGCGTGCTCTCCGGGCTGGCGCGGCGTGAGTCTTCCCGCGATGGCTGGGGCCACGGTTCGCAGGTTAGATCCGGGCGCCGAGCCCACCGCCCCAGCCATCGGGTGCGGGCCTGGGGCCTGCGCATTCCCCGCTTCTGCAACGCCTGCGGGCCCACGGCCGCGACAGCCGGGCGCCACTTGGCCCGCGGGTGCCCGCACACGAGGGGCCAGCAGCGGGCCCTCCAGAAGTGGCAGCGGATGTCACCAGAGGGGGGCACCCCTTGCTCGCGGGGCCACCCAGACCCGGTCGTAGGAGCCAAGCCGAACGCCAGAATGTTAAGGTATGTGGGAGGCACGCGGTGCCTCTCGGTAACCCCGCTGGTAACTCATCCTGTTCCTCCAGCCTCCTCTCCCCTCCCCTTCGGTCCTCATCCTGCTCCTCGTCCTCCTCGTCCTCCTCCGTTTCCTTCTGATTATCCTCCGTCCGCCCCGTCCTCCTCCTCCTCCTCCTCCTCCTCCTCCTCCGCCTCCTCCTCCGCCTCCTCGTGCTTTTCCTCTTGATACTCATCCACCATTTCTTATGAGCAATTCTTCCCTGTCGCACCCAGGGGCCAGTCGGAAGGGCGCTCTGGGCGTTTCGCCCGAGACTTCCTTTCTACTTATGACCCTGAAGCTTAACAACTGGCAGCAGCTTCACAAACGGAGAGCGGGTCGCTTCCAAAATATGGCTCTCGCTTTCGCGCCGCGGACACTCTTCGTGACAATCTGTACAAGTTCCACGGATTAACGGCGGGTCGTTTTCAAAATGTTGCCCTCGCCTTCGCGCCGCGCACATTCCGTGCACAAGCTTGGAAGAGCTTCACGGATTGATGGCGGGTGGTTTTCAAAATGTGGCTCTCGCCCTAGCGCCGCGCACATCCTTCGAAACAACATGCAAGAGCTTCACGGATTTAAAGTCACTCTTTTTCAAAATGTGGCTCTGGCCTTCGCGCAGCGCACATTCGTGTTGAAAAATTGCACGGGTTTCACGGATTGAGGGCGTTTTTTTCAAAATGCGGTTCTGGCCTTAGCGGCACATTCGTTTCAAAGATTTGCAGGAGTGTCATTGGTTCTCATGGCTAACGAGCCAGCAGCAGCGTCTTGGAACGATTTTTGGATTGTCAGGGCGCAACAAAAACGTTGATTTGCGGCGTCGAAGCCCCAAGAATGAATGGTGCTCTGGCACGATTCAGGGTCATCAAGACGTAGCCGTCTGGTTGACTCGTGGCGAAGAAGTCCTGGGAATGGTGCGTTGCCACGCTTCAAGACTTTCGCACCGTTGTCCCCGACTGGGCACTTGCCTCACTGGAAATGAACCCCCGAAGGGGCCTATAAAAACGAAGCTTGGAGGGAGGGCGCATTCCAACATCATTGATGAATCTTGGGTGTACAGTGGTACTCCTCCTCCTCCTCCTCCTCCTCCTCCTCCTCCTCCTCCTCCTCCTCCTCCTCCTCCTCATCATCATCATCATCATCATCATCATCATCATCATCCTGCTTTTCCTCCTTCTGCTTAACCTCTGCCTGCTGTTTCTCCTCCTGCTTGTTTTCCTCCTGCTTACCCTCCTCCTCCTCCTGTTCTGACCTTCCCCACACGAGGGTGACAGGGGGAAGAGGACGACGACAACGACGACGACGATGACGACGACGACGACGACGACGGCAGAAACGGCGGCGGACAGGACGACGACGACGACGACGATGGACGAAGGCGACGACGACGACGACGACGACGACGGCGACGACGACGACGGCCACGGCGAAAGCGACGACGACGACGACGACGACGACGACGACGACGACGACGGCGACGACGACGACGGCCACGGCGGAAGCGACGACGACGACGACGACGGACGACGGCGGTGAGAACGATCTGCTCTAAGCTCGCGGCGCCACGGCGCGTCGTCGCTGCTGCGCTGGGCACCCCGGGCGCCGTCCCCTCCGGCGCCCCGGCGGCCATCCTGCTCCGCCGCAGGCCCCTCGGGGTCGGGTCGTCATCGTCGTCGTCGTCGCCGCCGTCGTCGTCGTCGTCGGCATCGTCATCGTCGTCGTCGTCGTCGTCGCCGTCCTCTCCCCCCGTCGCCCTAATACGGGAGAGGTCAGGGCAGGAGGAGGAAACGCAGGAGGAGAAACAGCAGGACGAGGAACAGCAGGAGGAGGAAAAGCAGAAGGAGGAAAAGCAGAAGCAGGAGGACGAGGAGGAAGAGCCAGTGTGCACCCAAGACGCATCAACGATGTTACAATAAACCTTCACTCCGAACTTTTTCTTCATAGGTCCCTTCATGCATAAACTTCATTACCTGAAATAGCCCAAAAACCGTCTGAGAATCATCGATCGTACTAAAACACCTTTCCTGGGACGTCGACGCCGCGGATCAACGTGACTGTTGCGCCCCGAAAATCTTGAATCGGGCCAGAACGCCAACCCTGGAATTTCAACACTGCGAATCAACGTGACTCCTGCGTTATGTCATTCCCAAATCGTGCCATAACATAGTCTCTGATGACTTCAACCAGACGACTCCTCGAACAGGCACAAACGTTCAAGACGAATGTGTGCAGTGCTAGGGCGAGAGCCACATTTTGAAAATGAGCCACCCTCCGTCCTTGAAGCTGTTGCAACAGTCGGCTTTGCGGTGAGATCCACATTTTGAAAACCCACCGCTGTCTGTCCGTGAAACTGTTGCAAACTGTTCGTGCGCTGCGCTGGGGCGAGACCCACACGTTGAAAGCAGCTCCACTAGAGATCACAAACGGTGGGAAGTCCCAGGCGAAACGCCCGGCCCGCCCTAGAGACACGTCTAGGGGTGTGACGTGAAGGGTGCATGTATCAAAAGATGGAGGAGGACGAGGAGGAGGGAAGAGGAGGAGGGGGAGGAGGATGAGGAGGAATGAATGAATAAGTATCCGAAGACAGGTCACAGCACTATATAAACGAACGACAAAAACAATCAAGGCAACCTTGCCTGGCCTCGTTGGCCTGCATGCGCTGCATCAGCGCCTTCAGCCTGACCTCGTAGCCAGGCACCTCCAAGGGCGCAGCAGGCACCTGCTGCGCGGAGGCAGATTCCACCTGGCGGACGAGGGTGACAGCTCGTGCCTGCCGCCTCGAGGTGGAGGTGAGATCAACCTGGGAGAATGGAAGGACTCTATGTACTGCCGCCGTTAGGCGGGGGTTCGGGCCCATTCCTCTCCGAAAACTTGGCAAAACTTCAACGCCGTTCTTGGTGGGGGAAGGCACACACGCCCAAGTTTGACTCCACGGCCCTGAGACCATCCCCCACATTGAACACAGAGAAACTGCTGCACATTCCTCCTCGAAGGGATACCAAGGATATGATATCCCCCGCCAACGACCGACCCCTGGACCGCAACGACCACGTGTCCTATGGAATCCCTGAGGAGCTTCTGCAGGAACGTTGGGGCGCCCATACAGCCATCCATAGCGGAAGAATCCCCAGGAGGAACGATCATCAAACACTGCCTGCACTGAAGCCCAAGAGAGGACTCCTTCCAATCATGGAAACTAAAAATCACACAACACTGGGGCCGCTTATCTCTGGGAAGCCTGGGCCACCTCCTATCGTTCTCGAAGCAGGGCAGTGATGCTGCAGCCAATCTTACAAAATTGTCAGCTCTTTCCTGTGCTAGCTCAACTTTAGCCAGGAAATCTGGATTCGCTCGAGGGTGCATATATAACGCAATCTTCGCATGGAGGAGGAAGATACGGGAGGAGGAGGAGGAGGAGGAGGAGGAGGAGGAGGAGGGGAGGAGGGAGGATGGGAGAGGAAGGTCCCAAGCGATGAGAAGGGCGCCTGGGTGAACCGACGCCCCTCTGCGGGAGACATTGAAACAACACTGCTGCAAGATAAGGCTGGTGGGGATATGCGAAGCGTCAATAATTCTGAGACTGATCTATCGCACGCAGGCGCCACGCGGCCAGAACGCCAGGCAGAGGTGGACCCGTACAGCCGCGCTTGGGTCGAATTATGGCGAGACCTCCTTCGGGCTCGTGGAGCGCGAGCTATGGTGAAGCGAGTCTGGCCGAGCGCGGGCTGGCAGCGCTGATGGGCGGTCAGGTCAAGGCCGTGGCGGCCCCTGACAGTCTGGCCCAAGCAGAAGCGGCCGTTTTGGATTATACTGGGTTGGCCTGGGTGCAGCCGACCATGTTCGCTCGGTCCAACCAGGCCGCATACCCGAGATCGGGTGCAAGCACCACTTTCAGCAGCAGTCAGTCGCGACCTCTCCCCGCTGCTGGGCGTGTCGGCTCGCTACTAGTTCCTTACAGTCGGCGGACAAGCACCCAGAACTGAAGATCAACACTTGGTGTGCAGCGCAGTCGTGGCGACCATGTCCGAGGGAGCTGCCATGTCGCGCCTGAAACCAAGCACGGGATGACAGGCGACGGATTCAAGGAGGAGGGGGGGAGGAGGAGGAGGAGGAGGAGGAGGAGGAGGAGGAGGAGGAGGAGGAGGAGGGAAAGGAGCGTGCCCAAGATGCATCAACGATGCTGCAACAGACCCTTGCGTACCAAGTCCCCCCCTCACAACTGCCTACGAGTATGCCTTCCCGGTGCGGGAAGCGCCCAAGTTGGCAGGTGACCGCCCCGTGGGTCTGCCATCCAGGCAGTGGCCCCGATCGGATCTACTTCCCAGCCCCTTTCCGGCTATAGATATGCTAGGTAAGGAACCGAACTTCACACACCGATGCTGTTGTTCCGGTCCCGCACTGAGAGTCGCACAGGAAGGCGGATCCTGCTGTACACGGCATCCTGGTGTATCCATGTTTTGTCGCTTCCAC